ATATTATAGTAGGTGCACGGACAGAATACAACGTAGATACTAATGGTTAGTGATGCAAGCCAACCCCTCTCCATACCACAAAGAAATAGGGGGATTCACACTTCCATGGACACCTCTTCCTAGCCCTATTCTTCCGGTTTTGATTCCAATCGTTTCTTGTAAATGTGATTTAGAATGGCCTGTTTACATTAGAATAAAGAATGAAGCATTCAACGATGGACAGTGTCTTTCTGAGATGTGCCAGGCACCCGAGTTCCATTCAAAATCGCAGCGGCATCCGAATGCGTCTTAAACTACCCATGATCTGTGGAGCAAGATTGTCTTGATCCGCATAAACGAGCGATGCGACCCGAGCGCGACCCTTGAATGATGGAAGACTTGACAAATATGGGCGGGATTCAATCCAGGAGTCGGTTCCTTGAACAGTGCGTTTGGGACACAATTTGCAACTACTCTTCCATAGCTATGGTTCACATAAATAACAAAGTTTTGGATGTGTTAACACTTACCCGAAACCGAGGGTAGATTTCTCGGACCATGCTGAGATTGAGTGCATTTAACGCCTTTGGCCGATTCAATGTTAGAATCCGCTTTGAACCTTCCTTTTCAACTATTATCTCGGATGGCGCGGTACTCATCGCCATTTGAGTTAAGTTCTGCAATGCATTTGTTTTCTAAATTCAGTTTCTCACATGTGTAAGAAAATATGTTGCAAAACCACGCTGCACTTTTGCCACAAGTCATTTAGGTCAGACCAAGCAAAATTTTCTAGAATCTTTGACGTGACTACTTCGCATGAATCCTTCATCGTGCAAAAAAATATCAGAAATGAGTGCACTTATCGTAGTCCGATAGGAACCTTTTCTAATTCTATTTCTTGCTGAAGTTCCTAGTATAAACAACTCATTTACGAGAGGACACTGCACTAGTTCTCGGGAGTGTTGAACTGGCCTTACTCAACAACTGATTTGTGATGCGTACTTGTTTAGTAGCTTTGAGTAATAGAATTTCTAAAATATTGAAAAAAAAACTCAGCAGACAATTCTGCTAGGAGCTGACCAACAAATTGGTAAGCATCTTTACGGCTGTGAAGATTTTTGATACTCACAAGGGAGGTCTTTCAGGGCAAGGTGCGCTTTTTGGAAACGGTTTAGTACATGTTGTAGGGACGCATGTATGGACCACAAAACCATGTTTCGTTTTCGCTGAACGGTTTTAGTAGTACCAAAAAAGTGGTGAATAACACTCTTGATGGTTCGATCCCCCGCGGCCATTAAATTTTGCATTTGG